TTTTGAGCCCCGGGGTCCAAGACATCTGCATCCTAACTGCTGCTGCTGCTGCTGGTTCAGAGGCCACATCATGAGAACTGCTGACTGGGCAGTGATACCGAAGAGTAAGGGGGTCAAGCGGGAGGATGTCTGCGGGAGTTCAGAGTGTAGGAGGGGACCCTGCACCCTCCTAGGACCAAGGTGCAGTTATGCTTTTGCATCCCCCAAAGCAACGGGAAGGTCCTAACCCCGGCGCCTGTTCACGTGGCCTTACTTGGAAATTGGGTCTTTGCAGATGTGATCTGGTTAAGATGAGGTCACACCGGAGTAGAGCAGACCCAGTCCAGTGACGTGTCCTTAAAAGAAGAGGAAATCTGGACATAGACATACAAGGTTGTAACGACAGAGGCAGCAACTGGAGAGATTCACCATGGATGCCAGCCAGCACCAGACCCTGGCAAAGAGGCCTGGAACACACTCCCCATCTGAGCCTCCAAAGGGGAACCAGGCCTGCCAACATCTGGATTTCAGACCTCTGGCCTACAGAACACAGAGAAGTGCAGGTCAGCGTCCATGGCACATTGGCCCAGAGGCCACTGGTGGCTGCATGCTGGACTGGGCTCCCCATCCTTGGACTAGTAACTGGAAGGTTTGCTGCATTTCTTCCCTCACTGTCCCGAGATTACTTCTCAGGTGTCCAGGGCCCCTGGAGATCCGAAATCAGGTCTCCCCAGGAAAGGGAGGGGAGGCTGGTACCCCGGCTGCTGCTAGGCCGCACAGTCCATGTTAACCACCTCAAGGAAGCAGGGGAGGGACAGATGGGGCAAGATGCATCCCAGGCCACCCAGGAGTCCTAGGCCCCAAGCCCTGTGTGCACACCCACGACCCCTGGAAGAGGAGCTCCATGGGATTTGTGGGCCCACTGTGGGGACACCCTTTCTCTGCTTCCACAGATCCCAGCTTCGAGGGCTATGCAGTTGCTGCCTGGCCTCTCCGGCCCCAGAGCTATGGCCAGCGGCCCACCTGTTATCCTTACTAGGGTGCCTCCAGCACCTGGGCAGTGGGCTCTCATACCCCTCATTTCAGACAGGTGTCCATCCCAGCGTCCACCCAGTGCCCCCGCAGGCCCCCCTGCACCCGTGGGAGTCAGCTGCCCACACTGGTTGGGCCCCTGCTGCAGCCTGGCTTTGATGCAAAAGCAAAAATCCTTCCCCAGGGAACCCCACAAGCTCCTCATCCTGTCTCTGATGGCGCCATGGGAATCGTGCGCCTGCGAATGTGAAAACAACTGCCCTGCCTCTGCCCCTGTGACCCGGATCCCACTCCCCCACCCTCTGCCACCGTCAGGACTAAGGTGACGCGGAGGGGCTGTTGGCCCAAAGCCAGAGGCCTGGCTCTCATTTGGGAGTGTGGCCTTGGGCAGTTCCACCCCATTTTAGACGCCTGCCCCCCCAACCCCACTGCCCTTTATCCCCTCCCAGCGTCCCACAGCCACAGATGTACCATGTGACCTCCCCACCAGCAGAGCTTTCAGACCAGGAGTGTGCTGGGACCCCTCCCCACCCCCCATGATCCCCATGTGAGCCGGACTGAGTTCCCTTGCTCAGAATCTGTACTTGGGAAGCAAGCCAGAGTTGTGAGGTAGGAGAGCCGGCACGCTGCCTGAGGGTTGTCAGCCAGTCCTTGGGCAGTGCCCCCTGACCTGGGTCTGGGTGGCCCAACACTGGCGCTGTGATGCCAATTCCCCATGATTCAAATTGTTTGTATAGACAGGGACCCTCAAAGGAAAATGTGCCCGTGTCTGGCACATTCTGGGACTCATTCTTGCTCATCTGTAAAACAGAATAACTACAGAACTGTAGCAAGATGAGGTAGGTGGTAGCTGGCAAACCAGGTCAGCAAGCCACAGCCCCACGACGTAAGGACTGCTTCACTCCAGCCCCCAGTGTCCTGATGCCTACACTGCTCAGCTGCCTTCCAGGGCACTCCCAGGACAGAGCCTTCCAGTGGATGACCCGCCAGGTCACACTGGCTCCTTACCATGCCAGGAGCCTCCCAGGCCAGATACAGGCCTTCCTTCGTCAAACTGTTCCCATCCCGGAATGTCCTCCACTCCTATTGCCTTCACAAATCCGGCTCCGCCCAAAAACCACCTCCTCCAGGAAGCCTTCTCTGACCACCCCATCCATCTTGGAGCTCCCACCTCTGGATGCCTGGAGCAGTGTTTCACACTGTCTGCTACACGCACCACCTGAACAAGAAAGAGGCTCTGTGGAACCTTGTCGTCACACATCCCACAAACTCACTTATTCCCTTAGGATAAATTCCCAGGTATGGATTGATTCCTGGGTCGGCCTACAGGCACATTTTTAAGACAACTGGCATGTAAAACAAAGTGCTTTCCAGAAAGATTGCAACATACCATTTTCATTAACAATAAATGAAAATAAAATTTTTAAATTGTCAATTTGACGGGTGAAAACTGATAATTCATTATTTTGGTTTATATTTCTTCGGTTATTGGTGAAGTTAAACTTTTTTCATGTGTTTTGACTGTATTTATTATTTTGTTAATTGTTTATGCATGTCCCTAAGCCATTTTCCATGACCATATTAATCTTTTACAATATTTATTTGAAACAAGCCTTTATATACAAGTCTATTGACATTTGGTTGTCCTACACAATGCCAGTATTTTTCTTAGTTTATTGTTTATCTTTAAATTTTCTTCCTGGTACTTTTCTGTAATTGTCAATCTTTAAAGATCTGCCTTGAGGGTAAAAATGTTTTAAATACCTAAGAGTGAGGAATAATGAGGACAATTTTACCGTTTACAAGCAGTACAAACTTGGTCAAGTCATGCTACCTCTCCGCGTGCATTCCTTCATATACAAAGTGGAAGTGCTTGGGCCCATCCTCGCGTGGCTGCTGTGGAGGAGGATGAGAGCGCACGAGCGCACGAACGCACTTCGCCACCTGCACACAAATTCTACGGGCTGCTTCCTACTCCACCCCGAGGGCGAAAAGTGCGCTGTGGGCTGAGCACTCACTGTTTCCGAACCCTGTGTCCTCAGTGTCTTTGTTTCCTGCCATCAGCTTTTAGCAAGTGTCTCGACTTGATGTGGAGCCAGCCCCCCTCTCTGTGCCACCCTCGTCCTCTGCTGTGGGCTCCTGAGCCCTGGCACACACGCCCTGTGATTCATCTGCCTGGGGCGGGGAGTCCAGTGTCAGCATCGCCCTGTTTTGTGGCTGAGAGAGGTGCTCTCATTCCCGCACACGCTTGTCACGCTTCTCCCTCGGCCTGGCTCCTGAGGGCAGGGGTGGCGGGGGAGCCTCCCTGGGCCTGGGAAGGAGCAGAGCGGGGAGGGGAGGCGGCTGCCGCGGAAGGAGCCGAGGGACAAGGCAGAACCTGAGGTCTGGAGGGGCCCCGTCAGCAGGTCCTGGGGTGTGGGTGATGCGGGGTGGGAGAGGAAAGGTTGAGGGCGGTACCCAGCTTCCTGAGCTGGGGCACTGGACAGGGCAGGGAGTATGTTTCAGAGGACAAGAGGTCAGGTTTTGAACATCTTGACCTTGAAAGGGTCGATGTCATCTGAGTGGATGGAGATGTCCGGGACACAATTGGGTCCTTAGCTGTGGGACTCCGCAGAGCTGACTGGACTGGAGACCGCGGCTTGGGGGGCCTGGGGGCCAATTACCCCCAGGGAGAGGCTGTAGAAGGAAGGGTGCGGCAACCTCAACATTGGAGGGTGGGCCTGAGTTGGGGGCTGGGTGCACAGGTGAGTGGTTCTGGGCAATGGATCTGTGGACAGTACATGAGGGCCCAGGGCTGCCCCTTCAGCCCAACCCCTAGGGTGGGTGTCCTTGGAGAGGATGGCCTCCTGGGGCATGACTGAAGCCAGGAGTGGACTGCTTATGTGGCAGGCAAGGAAGAAAAATAGAAAAAGAGATTTGCAGTGTTGGGTGAAAGGTTAATTTTTTAATACTGTTATTTTTAAGGTATAATTTTACACACGATAAAATGCACCCATTTTAAGTGTTCACATCTATAAAATGGGGTTGGCAATAATTCCCACCTCTTAAGATCGCTGGGAGAATTAAATGATGTAATATGTTGTCTCAACTGCTGCCTGGCTGCATAAATGCCATGAGAGTCATTATTATTACTGTTCCTCTTACTGAATTTTCTTACTCCCAAATCCTTCCACTACCCACCCCAGAGATTTCCCTTGGAGTCAGTGTAGTTGTTGTAACCACCACGAGGGGTCAGGCTTCGGCATCTTCCGTGACACATGCGGATGGGTATTGAGGGCGGGCCTTGAAGGCTGAGGGGAGGTCTTCTACGTCCCAGATGTCCAGCTTTTGCACTCTCACCCTTCCTTCCCCACTGATGTTACGCCCCTGGAGACCTCTGGCCCCTCATCCAGGAGGGAGAAGAGCTCTGTCTCTTAGAAGCAGACTTGAAATAGGGCAGAGTGGGAAGCCCAGGTGGGTGTGCCTGACGCTGAGCTTCCACCCTCTGCCCAAAAGGTTCAGGTCGCTGCTGGTATGCAGACAGGCTCCCTTAGAAGGGCACAGACTCTGGTTGAAGGTGCTCCCCCATCCCTGTCACCCGTGGCCATGCATCCAGAGGGCCCAGCCTATCCCCAGGCAGCCCCGTGTGCTTTCTGGGCACATGCTCGGCCCCACCCAGCCAAACCTGGTTGAGGAGGCAGAGCGCAGCAGGCCCTGGGTGCCAGGGAGTGACACCTATCCTGAGACCAGGGGCATGTGTCCAAGTGAGGCCAGTCAAGAGGAGGTGGGGGTATTCCAAGCTGGAGCAGAGGTGGGGTGGGGTAGGGGTAAGTGTGGATGAAGTGAAGGTTCCTCTGGCCAGGATTCTCACCTGGCCCTGGTTGACTAGCTCACTACACACAAGCGGGCAATACGTCGTTGTTGACTATATAAAGAGCTCCGCCCAGTGCTCTGGGAGACCCCGTTGCAAGGCTGCAGGAGAGCAGAGACAAGACTGGAGTGGTGGCAGCGCCGAGGACGGAGACAGACGGCTGCGGGGGCAGAGAGGCCCAGAGGCAGAGACCGGCTTGCTGTCTGCAGACGAACTTTACCAGGTGTTATTCACTTATTATTTCAGAAACTGGGTCACTAACAAAACAACAAATTGCAGAAGGATATATACATCAGTGCTGCCATACAATAAAAATGTGTATTATTTCCAGGTACAAATAAGACAGTAAAGGTAGGAAAACATGCAAAGAAGTAATAAACACAACAATCAGGATAGTGGGTATTTCTGGAGAGAGTAGACTTCTGCTGGCTTCTTTCTTTAAAGAAAAGAAATCAACCTGACATAAAAATGGGAAAATGTTAAGATTTGACAAACCTGAGTGGAGGGTATGCTATTGCTCCTTATATTTCTTACAAAACTAAATATATTCTTACCATGGGATCCAGAATCTTCCACTGGTATTTACCCAAAGTAATTGAAACCTACACATAGATGTTTATAGCAGCTTTCTTTATAATTCTCAAAATTTGGAAGTAACCAAGATTTCCTTCAGTAGGTGAATAGATAAGTAAACATTTGAACAATGGCATATTCAGCACTAAAAAGAAATGAGCCATCAAGCAGGAAAAGACATGGAGGAAACCAGTGCATATTACTCAGTGGAAGACACCAATCTGAAAAGGCGGTCAGAAATCATACTGTATGATTCCAACTATACGACATTCGGGAAAAGGCAAAACTACAGAGACAGTAAAAAGGTCGGTGGCTGCCAGGGATTGGGAGGAGGAAGGTGTGAAGAGGCAGAGAGAGCACAGGATTTTTAGGAGAGTGGAACCTCTCTATATGACACTGTAATGATGGATACATGTCATTATACATTTGTCCAAACCCTTGAAAGTACAACCCCCAGAGTGAGCCCTGGGGTCAACTATGGCCTTGGGTGATAATGGTGTGTCAGTGTTGATTGATCAGTAATACATGTACCACCATGTGGGAGATGTTGATGGTGGGGAGGCTGTTCGTGGGAAATCGGGGTGAGAGCAGGGGCTATATGGGAACTTCCTGTACTTAGAGCTCTATCTTGCTATGAACCTAAAACTGCTCTAGAAAATAAAGTCTGTATTAAAAATAAAAATAAGAGGGTAGTTTTCCAAGCTGGAAATAAGAGACTTCCCCTTCCTTCTTTTTCTTGCAGTATTTCTTTCTCTGTCCTTTTCACATCTATGTACATCTTTTTAAAGGCTGAATAAGTCTCTTGCCTGTCTACCCCGGAATGTCGCCTCCAGGAGCTGGGGGCCATCACTTTGACATCATCAAGGGAGGTAGGGCCCCACCTCCCAATTTTCTGGGAAGAGAGGGGCTTACCTTCAGCCATCACCTTATTCTGAATTGCAAAACCTATCTCGCAGCATAAAGATATGCGAAAATTAGCAACTTTATCTACAGAACATGTATGTAATGGGTTGCATCTGCCTTACTGCACAGAAGACCGAGATTTCCCAGTCTCTGCAATCTCATTAGCAGATTGCTTGTGATGTACATCATATTCTGTTTTAATGCTTAGTCAGTAATATAATGTTTTTCTTTCTCTTCTACCTTATGGACAGGCTTTTGGGTTAGGAGATTTTGTTTTTAACTATATTTTTCTAGCAGGGCCTGTGTCCAGAGGCAAACACTGGAATGTGTGGTTTGGCCAGCATGGATGCCTGGAGGGGAAACGGCCAGGCCAGGCCCCTTGGAGGCCTGTCCTGGTGTGGAGCAGTGACGTGCAGGTTGCGGTGTATGTCATCTCCTCAGACAGCTTCTGAGAGCAGGGCAAGGTCACCCCTGTGTCCCAAGAATTGTATGACCTCCTCTTCTAGGCCCAAAGTGTCTCATCTGTGAAATGGTGATGAAAATATACTTTTCTGAAGGTAAAGGAGCAGTGCACACTGCTCCCCCTAGCCTGCCTCCCCCAGTCCCCACCCACCCGGGTCCACTGCCCCACCCTCCATGGAGCCCCCTGGGGTTGACCCTGTGCAGACAAGCTTTCTCTCCTTTGATGTCACAGCTGGCGCCTAGCCCCAGCTGGCCACCCGAGTCATCAGTCATCATCAGTCATCCGCTCACCAAGCACACATCTCATCCCCCCAGCTATCTGGGGGCAGCTCCGGTCTTGTGGGCTCAATGTTGACTCTGTTCAATCCACAAACAATCTTTGAGCCTTTGTTATGTACCAAGAGTCCCCAAGCCCTGAGAAAGTCTCATGCTGAGGCGCTGCATGTTTCTGTAAACCAGTTCTTGTCATCCAGGGTGGCCTGGGGGCAGAGCACCATGGTCCACCAGCAAGGATGGCTCAGGTCAGGGCAAGTGACACCGAAATAGATCAAGTGTCAGCACTGCTTTCCACTGTGGGTGGGTGGAGTGGTCAGGGTGGGGAACGGCATTCCAGGGCGCAAGCCATCAAGAGCAGGGGCAGGAGGTGAGGGCAACCTGGCATAGAGATATGGGGGGCAGGTCAGGGTTTGGGTGCTGTTGAAGCAGAAAGTTTAAGGAGGGGCTGGGTGCTAAGACCACAGTAGTAGGCAGTGGGGCTGTCAAGGGCTGTCTTCCCTGTGCTCTGGATCTTGGCTCCCATCCTTGGCCCAAAGAAAGAACTCAGTAGGGCTCTGGCTCATGGGGCTGGCGGCTGTGCCGACCTCCGCCAGCAGGCCAGACCCCAGGGCCTGGGGGTCTGTCCCAGGAGCAGGCGGCCCCCCGCGGGCTCAGCACTAACGCGCCGGCCCAGCAAATCTTTTGTCGGGGGCGCTGAGCCAGCAGGCGCCGCCGCTATTTAAACACTGGCCAAGCAGCGGCGGGTGCACCATGGCACAGCGCTCTGGAAAGGTGAGTGCGGCCCCTCGCCCGCAGGTACCCACCCCGCCAGCCGCCAGCCAAACCTCCCACTGCGCCTGGTCCTCGGTGCAGGCCAGACTGTCACTGGATGCGCTTCCCCCTTTGCATCTGACAACGCCACCCCCTTCCCCAGCAAACTTGGCTACATTTCTTAGGAGGCTGGCCTGGCCCTGCCCCAGGGCCTCCCGGGTGGGGAAAGAGGCAGGTTCCCTCTCCCACCCGCTGCAGCAGGGGCTCCGGTCCAGAGCAGGGAGGGCAGGCAGCAGGAGCCATTCCTGGGTTGGGGTGGGGAGCCTTGGCTTGCCCCCCATGCCTGATGTGGGTCTGAATGTGGCTGCTCTTTCCCCAGGATCTCCTCAGGGCTCTTGGGGCTGCTTTTCTGCAAAATACTGAGATGTGAGGGACCTTCAAATCCTGTGGGTGACCAGTTCTCCCTGAGTAACTCAGGGCACTCCAGCAGACCTGTCTTGTGCAGAAAGGGTGGCACACTTGATCTCCCACCTTCTCTAGCCCCCTCTCCTAGCTACTCCCATACAGCCGCCCTATCTCCAGGGGCTGCGTTCAGGTGAGCGGGTGCGGGGTTATTGTGTCAGCCTGCGGCCTAGATTACGCTTCTGTAATAAACAGCCCCAAGAGCTCACGTCCACTGTGGTCTGCACACCCTCCCCTGTGCCCAGGGAGACACCTTCACACAAGCAGAGGGAAAGGGGCTCAAACCTTCTATTCCAAGGGGCCCAGAACAGCAGTCCCAGCGTTAAGGGCAGCACAACTGACTCCAGCAGTCACCCTGGGGAACGTTATCTGTACTTAGCCTGGGTCCTTCTAGGACAGCCCAGTCCTCACATAGTCCACAGGGCAGCTAGACATCCACGGCCCTCTGCCACAGGCAGCCACACCCCTTGTTTGCTCTCCCTTCACACACTGGGCCACACTGAACCCCAGTTCTGAAACCCTGAAGAGATATTGAATGATTGGGTTTTAGGCTCCATGGCAGGAAGTGAGTGGGGTTTGCTGTGGTTCCCACTGTTTAGTCTGGGGACAAGGAGGATGTCAGTGCGACATCACCGCTGGTCACAGTGTCTGAACTCACTGCTGGGTTGGTAAAGCTCCGGATCCAGAACAGGCCTGTCGCTCAGAGGAGCGGCCTAGTCAACAAAGGGACGGGTTTCACTGAAAAAGCCCTTTGTAATCCCAAACCCCTGACCCCACACCAGGCCCTGACTCGGCTCTGCTGATTCCATCCCTCCTGTTAGGGGCCCAATCTCAGGACCTGACTTGGAAAACTCAGTGTTGGGTTATGGTTGTGGGTGAAATGTTTGCTTCTGAAAGTTTCCCTAGATGTTATGTTTTAACAATAAACAAAAATTGAATTTTAAAAATGCAGTGGAAGTTTGAAAAAAGCTTGTTTACAAAAGATCCCCTGGGCGAAAGGAAAACCCCCATCTCCAGACAGCTTCAACCCTGGGGTGGGCAATCAAGGCGCTGGGTCTGACCTTAACCCAGCTGCCCGTGCTTCCTTTCACGCAGCCAGCCAACAGCGCTGAGCACCCGCTGTGCAAGCGCCCGGGCTTCAGTGGCCTGGGAGGTGGGGCTCAATCACGGGGGTGGGGCCCCAGGCGTCCACTTCCAAAACTGAACAGAGAAGCCCCGGACCCTGTGCCCTCCAACCCGGTCTTTCTAGATCACCTTCTATGAGGGCAAGCACTTCACAGGGCAGAAGCTGCAGGTCTTTGGAGACTGCGACAACTTCCAGGAGCAAGGCTTCAGGAACCGGGTGAACTCCATCCGCGCGGAGAGCGGAGCCTGGGTGTGCTTCGAGCACCCGGACTTCCGGGGCCAGCAGTTCATCCTGGAGCGTGGCAACTACCCCGACTTCTTCCGCTGGAATGCCCACAACGACCACATGGGCTCCTGTCGGCCTGTGGGCATGGTGAGTGGGCCTGTCCACCAGGGGGCTTCCCACTGAGTGCTGGAGGGGCAGGCCTGGCCACGCTGGCACAAATACTCAGGGAGCAAGGCCCTCCCAGTTGTAATATCTGACAAGGCCATGACATCTGGAAGACGGGGAGGCGTCCCCCACAAAGCCCAGCACCCCCAGGTGTGGGGGACAGCCTGGGGACAGAACTGAGCCCCCAGAGGCTTCCATGCTGCCATTTGCAGGTTTGTATCAGGTTTGTTTCCACTTCTGATTTCTGGTCCCAAAGTCTTGCTGACTTTTCCACTTAAAATACTGTTGGAAATTTAGAAGTTTGAATTTGTAATAAGATGGGGAAGCATTTAGCCAAAGTGAGGCTGATTTGGCCCCGGTTTATCCTGCTGTGCAAGGTCATCTTGTTGGGTGTTTTAGGAGACGTCAGGGCTCTGTTGGTGGAACGGCTAAAGAAGGAGGCGTAAGTCACCAGCCATCCTCGGGAATGCAGGGGCAACTATCTTGGAGCCACACAGGTGGCTGCCATCTCCGTGTGGCCCAGTGTGTGTAGGGAGAGCAAACAAGGGGTGTGGCTGCCCGAGGCAGAGGACTGTGGATATCTAGCTGCCTGTGGAGAATGTGAGGACGGGGCCTTCCTGTTCCTTAAGATTCTCCCAAGTGACAAGTCACGACTGGCTTCTGTGAGTTCTGGATGGGCAGGCGGGAAATGGCTGATTCCTGAGCCAGAGTGAACAGTTCTCATCGGAGAGTCTCAGCTGTGTGCCTGCAGTGGGTCCCTCCCCGGGGTGTGGGTGCCAGGCGGTGCTGGTGAACACGCAGGAACCCCAGGGAAGGCACTTCCTGTGGGAGGCCCCCTCTATTTTCTACACGGGTTGCAAAACTAGCTGGGTTTTGGCATCTCAGGTTGTAAGGATGCTTTCTTAGTATTTCCACCAGGCCATGGACATTTAGAAAAAGGAATTGACATGTTTGGCCCTGGATTTTGCAAAATGCTATTTATATGAAAAATATCGTATATCCTAGGTATCTCTTGAATGCTGTTCTAGGAAGAGCTGTCCTGAGGGCTGGCTGTGACACAGACCCGGCCTCTGGTGGCGCCACAGTGTGTGTTTCCCCTGTCTTCTGGAGACATCGGGGATCTTATAGGGAGATATATGTCCTCATCCCAGGGAGCCAGCAGGGATTTCAGCAGATGAGACCTCTGTTATTTGTTTTAGATTTCTGGCTTCATGTTTTAATAAAAGGTTCTATTACAGTTTCTAAAATATTATCATTTAAAGACTTGCGTTCCTAGGGCGGAGAAGGGCAGAGGAATGTGCTGGTGTGGCTGAGGCAGGAGACCCCCAGCCCGAGCGCCAGGGAAGCCCAGTGACCTGGGTCCTGGTCAGAGCAAGGCCACCATCCCTCCAGCAGTCAGGCCCTCTCTGGACCTTGGATTCTTTAGAGGTCAGACGGTTAGGGGCTCTGAAGGTTTTTTAAGTAAGAGGCCCCTCCTGTCCTGCCAGCTCTCACCTGCTGACAGACAGCGGCGTTGGGGTGGAGCTCTCGCCGGCCCCCAGCCCAGGCACTCTGCTGCTCAGGGCCTAGGGTCATTCTGAGTCCCTGCCCGGGCGGGCATCTGCTTAAGGGGAGGGAAACAGTGCCATTTGCCTTCTTTCCCTTCTCTCCTCGCGTGGGGCCGGCAGCACGGGGAGCATTTCCGCCTAGAAATCTTCGAGGGCTGCAACTTCACGGGCCAGCGCCTAGAACTCCAGGATGACTGCCCCTTCCTTCAGAGTCGGGGCTGGACCGACTGTGTCAACGCTGTCAAAGTGTACGGGGACGGAGCGTGAGTAGAGGCTGCATGGCCGTCCCCCCCCAAGCCATGTGTGGAGAGGCCGCTGGGGTGGGTCAGATCCCAGCAGGTGGGTGGCCTGTCCCCTGCCCCAGTCAAGCGTTGGGTGGCTTCCTCCATGGCCAGGAAGGCTACCATGAGGGGATGCAGAGCCCCAGAGGCCCACGGAGCAAGAGGCCCTCCTCGTGGGAGCAGAAGTAGGAAAGCTCTTTGCAGACTAACTGTGCTCTGTCATTAGCCCCACCTCAGGACGGTCCTCTGGTTTCTTTAAGCCAAGGGACACCTGCTCTGAGAAGGGTGGCCCTGCAACGCGGACCCCTGAACCGCACCTCTCTTGCCGAGTGGGCAGACTCCTAGCACACTGGCCTCCCAGAGGTGCGCGTCCTGGCGGCCCACCTCTGGTGGATGGAGAGCGGGTGGGGGCTCGCCTGGGCCAGAGGGGCTTGTGTGAGTGGCTCCGTGAGAGCCGTCAGAACCTGTGCTTGCTTGGGCTTCTGCTGGCGTGGTTCCGTCCACCCGCTCAGGATGATCTGCACGCCCTTTGCACATGCCCCTCGAGCGAATCTTCACAGCCTCCGCATAAGCTCAGTCAGCCATTGCTTCGTCTTCCCACTGGGTGGATGGTGTTGCCCCATCTTACAGAGGAGCAGGCTGAGGCTGCAAATGGCACCTCGCCGCGCTTGTGAGTGACACAGCTGGGATTGCAGCCGGGCCCTTGGCTTCAAGTCAGAAGGTCCCTGATGGAGAGCTGGTACCTCCCCTACCTCAGTCCCGGCCCCTCAGGAGAAGAGCCCCCCGCAGGGGCTCCAGGAGTCTGGCTCCTGTGATAGCAGCTAGGAAAACATTTGCCAGCTGGGTGTGTGAGGTTGGGGATCAGGGAATGTCATGAGGGGTGCAAACCAGTGGTGGTGGGAGGGACTGAATGAAGACAGTAGCTGAGCCGGCCCAGCACCACCCCGGCACCCGACCCCTGGCTGGCCCTGGGTGCCCTGAGCCAAGGGTCCCTCTTCCTTTCCAGAGGCCCAGGGGAACTCTGCTCCCTTCCTGCTATTTGTCTGTTGCTCCGGTTCTCTCCAGGATTCTTTTTCTCCCGGCTGCCTTTCTCAGATTCCATGTTTGCCCTAAGCTGATGGCACTTGAGAATCTGGGTGTAGAATTAATTCCAAAACAACAGCTTGCTTAGAAAACCATCGGCTAATTTGTGTCTCGTGAGGCCAAAGTCATACCTTTGCATGGAAGGTGTCCTGAGACCCTGACACAATCCTAGGACTCTGGGGCCTAGTTTAGAAAAGAGGTGGGAAGGAACTAAGAGGGGGACAGGGACCCGGGGAGGCAGGATGGGCCAGGCCTGCCCTGAGCTCCCCAGCAGGTGCTCCCCGCTGGCTCAGTCCCTCCGCCTCCCTCATCGCTGACCCCTGACCCTCGTGCAGACTGTGCCAGGCACCAGGCGTGAGGTCAGGATGAGTTAGAAGACCACGACAGCAGGGGAGTGGGGAGCCGGGGAGGCCGCACACCGGGCAGTCTCTGCCCGTTCTCGACCTCAGGCAGGAATGGCTGGCAAATTCCGCATCTGTGTCCGCTGGGGGACGGCTCCTTCAACAGGAGTGTGCTCTGGGATTGGTGGGCAAGAACCGTTAGGCCACAGTGGGGGTTCGCTGCAGAGACAAAGCCAGAGCCCCCCAGGGCTTGGATGGGAGGGACCCCCGTGACCAGACCTGAGTGTGTAGCCCCTTGTCAGAGGCCCAGAGACTGAGCCCTGCTTTGCCTCCCATGGCCACCAGCCCTTCCGTGGTTGCTGGAGAAAAGTGGTTTCCGTCAGGGGTGACGGTAAAGACAGCATCAGGAGTGAGCGCGGAGGCGGCCCTGCCCGGTCAGGTCCTTGCCGGCCATCTCTGCGCTCAGGTTTGCCAGCAGCTGCGCCAGAGCTCACAGCTGTGCAAGGTGCAGCCCAGGCCTCAGCAGGGAGGGGGCGGGCTCCCATGGGGACCCCGACGTGTCTGGCTGGCTCCTCCATGCAGCTGCGTTCGCCATGCTGGGTTCCCACTGGAGTGCAAGTCGCATGGGGGCAGGAACCTGCACATTGGACTCACTGCGGAATCTCCAGGGCCCCGGTGCCAGGTGCTGTCTGTGCAAACAGTCCTGTCTGGAAGCAGGAAGGAGTGGCACAGGGTGGACATGTGTCCTGGAATCACTCTTGGCCCTTGTGGTGAACATTCTGGACCAGTCAGTTCACAATGTCAACTTTTACTGAGCACCTGTGTGCTCACAGCGTCACACCCGGCACTGACCCCAACATGGGGCGATGAGAAGTCTTGCAGGCCCCAGGGGAGGAAGCAAGCCCAGAGCGGGGCTGGGGCACTGCTGTTCCCTGGCGGGGCCGATGAGAGGCTCCTTTGCCTGCTCAGCACCCAGTCCCTGACGCCCCTTCTGGCCCTAGGTGGGTCCTGTACGAGGAGCCCAACTACCACGGCCGCATGTACCTGGTGGAGCGCGGCGACTTCCGCAGCTTCATCGACTGGGAGGCCCACTGCGCCCGCGTCCAGTCCCTCCGCAGGGTCGTCAACTGCTTCTAGCCGCAGAGCAGGGGAGGCGGGGTTGGGGGCGTCCCCTTTCCTCCCCACCTGGGACTGGGGCCTGGGGAATAAAAGTCATGAAGGTGGGCAGGGGAGCTGGCCTGAGTGATTTCTCTGCCCCTGGGAGCAAAGGCTGCTGCAGGAAGAGGGCAGGGGGTGCTCTCAGGCTCTGGGGTGCCGGCAGGACCCCCCAGGGCTGAGCCAAGGGCCTGGGAGGATGAGGAGGGTGCTGTGAGGCACCTCCACTAGGGCAGAGGGAACATTAGGACTGCAAGGGACTGAGAGGTCACGGAGTCCGATCCTTTCATTGCACAGAGGCGAAGAGCCCGCCCTGGGTGGGGAGTGATGCCTCCGGCCCAGAGCAAGCCCTGGCAGGGCCCGGGGGTGGGGGTGGGGCGGGGGGCAGACCCTGCCTCTGACCCCGGGACCAGGGCCCAGGTAGGGGAGATGGGAGGGAGGAAGTGTCAGGGGCAGGGACTGAGGGGTCTTCGCCGAGGGACGGTCTCCTTCGGCACTGTCTCCCCCAGCCAGCAGCACAGGGCTTCCAGGCCGTGTGGTCTGCTCCACAGCCAAAAGCCTGACCCCAGGGTCCTAAGTATGCACCTCTGGCTCATCTTGGCCTTGGAGTTTATGAGGAAGACCCCTCTGGAAGGATGGGCTGTACCCCAAGAACACATCACCTCTTGCATGCTATGATGAGAGAGAAATTAGGGAGGCTTGGAAGATAAGGGGAGTTGCCCGCACAGGTGGGCACTGAGGGAACGGGGGTAAGGAGATTTCAGGGCCGAGGGGGACATGAGCATGTGCTCCAAGCCAGCCTGCCCACAGGGCTGGGAAGACCCAGGCCCAGGCACCCTTTATACCTGAGGGTGAACCCACAGGACTCTGTGGCCCCCACCCTCTCTGGGGTACTGGGTCTGCCCTGCTGATAGGGGGTGTTTCCATGGAGGGGGCACTGCCCAGGGGCTGCGGCGGGGAGGGGCCTGTCCTGGGAGATAGTGGGGTTTCTGGGAATAACATGGTCCATGGCCCAACAGCTCCCTATCCACACTTCAGTGCCCAGCCTTTGCCCACTGAAAGAGGACAGTAATATGCTGGAGGCAGGGGGTAGCCAGGTAACAGCCCCCCGTGCCCACAGCCCCTCACTAGAATCCTGAACCACAGAGCCGCCTAGACGGACCTGGGTGTTCAGAGGTAGCGCACCTGGCTCCTGGGAACACAGGAGCACTGGGTGTTTGGGCAGGGGCTCATGGGAATGGGGACCCAGGGGGGGCTACTCGTGAGAGTGCCCAGGCCAAGGTCCCCAGCCGGAGGAGAGGTCAGGAGCTGGGACCAGTGGACAGCCCACAGGACTTCTGACCACCAGGTCAAGCCGTGGTCCAGCTGTCCAAATTCCCACACTCTGGGATCCTGAGGGTCCCCAGGCCCTCACAGCTGGCCTGTTGCTGGGCCCCCCAGGATCCCGCCCCTCCTCATCCCACATCCTGCTTGTGCTTTTCCCAGTAGGTGAGGGGGGTACCAACTGGGAAGGACCCCCTTCCAGGGTGGACACTCCCTGAGGATCCCCCTGGGAAAGTACTGGAATCCTGGAATTAATACCTGCTGGAATAGAGATGTGAGGACAGGCGGGGTGGTGGGAGGGGTGGGACCTAGAGTTTAGGGAGGAAACAGGGTTCTTGGGAGTCAGATTCTGCAGCAAGGTCTGAGTGTGGAGGAGCATGGGACGGCTGTTCCGGGGGACGCAAGGGTGCCCCACCTCCCAGGTACCTCCTGCCCCCACCCTCTGGTCCCCACTGAGAGAAAAATGGGAAAGGGGGAGTCACCCATGGCTCCCACCTCCACCCAGGGTGATGCCTGCCAAGAGCTAGGTGGCATAGGTATAGGGGTCCCCGTGAGGCTGCTGTGGGACCCCCCTAAGCAGAGACATCACGGTGCTGGGCGACCATCCACGCTGCCTGGGAAGGAGAAGGGGCTGCTGTTCTGCTGTTTGTAGATGGAGTCCACAAAGGTTGTGCCCTGTGTCCCCCCAGTGCCCCCAGCCCATCTCCTTCCGCCTGCAAGCTAGAGAATCCTGGAGCCTTGAAAGCCACCAGCCCAGGCTGACGTCTGCCAGGTGCAGCGGCGCCCCCTCCCACACTCTCCCACCGTAAGAAGGCTCGGCCCGCGGACTTGAACAATGCTCCACAAAACTAAGAGCACCCAGTTCAGACCTCTAGGCCCCGAGCGAACCCACATTCACACGTCTCGAGAGTCCAGAGGAGCGTTTGTCTAAAGTCATGCTCTTGTGTTACACTTCTCTGCCAGTTTGTTCAGGGAGGCGGAGCTTTCTGAGCTCAGCCGCACAGTCTCTGCTTATGTGAGAGTTCCTGCTCGTGTCCAGGACCCTGTCGCTGCTCAGCTGGACTTTCCCAAAACTATCTG